AGAAGAGGGTAATTTCACATCTATTCATGCCACCAGCAAAGCTGCTGTTACTACACAGGTCTGTAGAAAAGCCACTTCTGCCTTGGTGGGGCAGAATAAAGTCCCCAGCCCATGGTCAGCAGGCTGTGCCCAAAGTTCAAACCCACAGGTGTGAAAGGGAATGGGAAACATCCCCCACATAAGCCTCTTGTGAACGGGGATGGATTTCATACCCCTAAAGCACGGCCCCAGTGAGAAGTCAGAGAGGTTTCAGACCGAGTTGTTTCTAATACTGAACCTAAGATTTTTAAGCAGTAGTGAAAAAAAGAAAAAAAGAACTTGCATTCTCAGATAAAGCGTATTCACGACCGACAAATTCCCTATTTTCCCCCCTCATGCTGATTTCCAAATGACATATTTACTATCGCCGTCTTTTACTCTCCATTTTACACGCTTTCCTCTGAAGGATTAAACAGAGAGAAAACCCCCTGCTTTAAACGCCTCCCGGTGAAAGGAAGAACACCCAGGATGCTGTAAATAATTCAGAGGAGGGATTGCCTGGTCAGAACACGGGTGTGTGTCGCTGAGGCTGCACTGAGGGTGATGGGGCTGCAGCACCCCGCGTGCTGCCGGCCAAGGATCTACCTGCAGACGGCAGAGGCTGCTGCCAAAAAGGATTATTTCTGCTTCCATGAGACTTTGATGCTGAAGAGCATCGATGAGCAAAGTACCAACCCTCCCCACTCCTTAGGAGCTCATTACAGTGGGTTTGTGTTCCCCCTCTTTTTTTTTTTTGGTCTTTCTCCCCTGCACAATTTTCTCCCCTGATCTAATTTTTTTTCCTTCAGCTCTTTTTTTCTTTACCCCTCTCTACCCCTTTCCTCTCCCCTGGACCCCCCCAAGTTCACCCTCCTGTCCCACAGTCAGGGATACAGGACCATTTCCAGAGAGGTTTCTGCTGTGGGGAGCCCAGGGGTTGAGAAGCTCTGCACCTCCTATTTCCACCTGCTGAGAAAGAACTGCTAAGAAATGAAGGAGCCACAGCCTTGCTAAAAATCTCCTAACAGCATAGACCAACGACAACTTCGGAAGCCTTTCTGTAAAAATAACACCCTTCAACCCCCTACTTTCACTGCCTCCTGTCTCAGCCCCTTCCTACCAGAACTTCATCTCTCCCGTGACCTAAATCCTTTTTAGCTCCGGGGGAGTTATCCAAATAAAGCTACTTTGCAATCAGAACAGAGTGTAACCAGGTTTGAGGGTGCTTTATAATGCTGCAGGCACTTCTTGACATAGAATTAAGTATTCTGCATAGTTAAGCGCTGTTTTGCACATGCTCTTTACATCACAAGGTCATGTCACTCCACTACAAGCCTCCTGGAACACTCTTCTAGTTTTGCTTACCAAAAGCAATATCTTTCCATTCCATGCCCTTGGAACCTACGGAGCAGCAACAGGGAGGATTCTTGGCCACAAGGAAAAAAAAAAAATAAAATCCCTAGAAAACCAAATAAATTAAAAAAAAAAAATCCATCCTGGCATAATTTTTCTCTTAACTTCAAAATCATGACAATCAACAACAGCAAATTCTTAAAAAACTCAAACCTACTGCTATTCTTCTAAAAACCAAACCAGGCAGGTCAGGCTGCAGCAACAGCACACAGTGCTGGGAAGAGCTGTGGTCTAGAATGACACTCAACCAAGCACATATTAAATCTGTGCTTGCTTCCACCATCTGCAAAACACAGAGGGCAGCCCCCAGTGCCACTCTGAAGCAGCAACAGTCCTGCTGGGCTCGGGTGCAACAACTCACACATTTGGATATAAAGCTAACAGGCTTTGAGGGCTTAGCATCATCTTTATTTTCAATTGATTTTGCATGGCTTTCTTCATCACAGTCAACTATTTTGAGCCACAACCTATTCAGCTGGATTGTCTCTGGCCCTGAGTCACACCAAGACAGTCACGCTCCCTGTAACCCCTCAGCACTGCTCTGCTCCCTGTCCCCAGGAGGGAGGGAAGGCTCTGCAGCCCAGGATTTGGGGAAGAGATTTCCAAAGAGAGCTGACATTTACACTGAGGATATGCCTAGTTATTGCTCTGACATCAACAACGCTTCCCACAGATTAAATGCATTAAGTTGTGTGACTGAGGGAATACGTGACCTCAAACTGCAAAATGAATCCAGACTGGACATGGGAAAAGGCTTCAGAGATGGGAGGCAAAAAAATAATCATCATTTGTATTTACTTTTGTTCCACGCTTTCCTTTCCTCAGCCTTATTCTGCTAGAGAGATACACACTACAACTGTACATCTACAGCTGGCAGGAAAAGCATGATTTCCCTGAACGCTTCTTCCCCTGGATACTCAGCTCTCCCGAGAGGCTGGTGAAGCTCTTCCCCTGCTGCTTATTTCTGTGCCATATTATAATTCCAACGCTTTACAGGGAAATTACTCAGCTTGTTACAAGGCACATGGCATTGCCTGTGATGGACAGAGGGCAGTTTAAAAATAAATAAACTTTCAGGTGAAATATTACTACATAATTGCCTGAAATTTCAGGGACTGCACTCAATCCTGATAGTAATTTCTAGTTCTGCCTTCCCAGCTTGTAAGTTCTATGTTCTCATTATATATATTTTGTTTAAGCACTAAGGTACCCTTCTCACACTCAAATGAAATAACCATTTCCTACCAAACACCCGGGTGAAGCTGCTCTTTGTGGAAATGCAGTGTGTGCTCCCCGAGAGAAGGACAAAGATGACTCCCCCGATGCACCCAGTGGCACCATCACGTTACCACCTCCTTCCTCCCATGAGTTCAGCACAGTTCTGCTCCCCTGAATTAAGCCTGGGCTTTTTTTTCCAGGTGAATACCATTACAGTGACAGATCAACTCCTTTTAACAACAGTTAATTAAGAGTTCAGAGTCACAATGGCCTTTTTTTGCTAGTATTAATTACTTTCATCTTAAGCTTTGGCAAAATACTTAAAATTTAAGGGTAGATAAAACGCAGAGAAAGCATACATCTAGCAGAGGTAAAGAGCATTTATTATTAATCTGTGCTCCAGGAAGCCAGATGAAGCTATGAAAAGAAATAATCCCTGAAACAGGTTTCTGAGTGAACGGAGATAAATGCGGCCTGATCAAAGGGAAAGAGCTGGAAAAGGCCAATTGCAGAGAAGCTGCAGCTTTAAGCTACGCTGGAAAAAACAGATACTATTTCACTAAGGAAAGTGGGCATAGACTTGTGTTCACAACTACAGCTTGATTTTCCAAAGCATTTAATACATAACAGCAGCCCCTACAGTTTTTTCCATTAAAGTGCAACATAAGGCATTAACTGGGTGTTTCTCACTTTGCCAGGAAAACAGGATTTTATTTTTTGCAGCCGTTCCGTGACCCAAGTTTCAGTACACACAAATAAATTGGCAAACCAAGAATACCATTTAGCACCAGTGAAGCGTTCACGGAGCAAGTTTGCTTTGAACAAAAGCTTTGAGGAAGAATCAGAGGTCTGGTCTCAGAGACCTTTAAGGTCTGAACCTTTCAGCTGGCTCTTACGAAAGATCTAAACTTTCCTGTTTGTCTTATCTCCCCTCCAGTGACGCAACCATTTGAAAGAGTCCCAGGTAAGTGAAGAGTGAAATGAATCCTAATCCTGCTCATCTTCCCACTATGTTCTAGCTGCGATTCTCTTCCTTGCTGGCCCCAGCAGAGGAAAATATTTAAGGCACCAAGAACTGTCTCACCCACGTTGGTGAGGCCAAATGCTGCTTCTGTGAAAGTCCTGTGACACTGAGCTCGCAGAACAGGCTGGGCAGAGACAGGCAAGGAAAAATTAGCAAACCTCTGTTGAAATAAGTAACATGCCAGAAAGATGGTGGAGACAAAAAACTCCCTAAGTAGTTCCACAGACAGGGAAAGACAGCTCTGCAGGAACAAGAGGAATCAGAGACAGGCAAGGAAAAATTAGCAAACCTCTGTTGAAATAAGTAACATGCCAGAAAGATGGTGGAGACAAAAAACTCCCTAAGTAGTTCCACAGACAGGGAAAGACAGCTCTGCAGGAACAAGGGGAATACTTTAACACAGAAAAGCAAAACCAAAAAAAAAAAAAAACCCAAGTGTTTATCACAATTACAGTTGCTGTCTTTTGGAATTCACTACAAAGTGTGAAAATTTATCTTCAAGATGTTATACTTGTTAAAAAAAAATACCTGAAGCAAATTATTACCTGTTGACTGCTGATCCGTGCCCTTGGCAGAGGACATCACATCCAGCTACTCGCAGCACTGTTTCTCTTGGGCTGCAAACCTGTTGTAGAGAGGCTGCATTTTTATTTTAACGATAAAAGTGCGTTTCTCTTGGGCTGCAAACCTGTTGTAGAGTCTGCATTTTTATTTTAACGATAAAAGTGTATTTGGGAGAAGGAAGGAATCAGATAAAGGTGAAGGCAAATGTGCGAACAGAAGACTTGCAACCTTTAAATTTCCAGTTAAAAGACAAGGAAGCAAAGACTTACTCTGAGTAAAAAAGAGCAAAGAAAAGGTTTAGAGCCCAAGGGAACCTCCTAAGCCAGCAGTTGGCACAAGGGCTCTGGGTACTAAGAAAGATTCAGACGTCAAGATTTCCAAACTCCTGAGCAGTATTACACCCCACCAGAATTTTTCCACAGATTTCAAAGGATTAGGCTTTCACTTTGCTACAATAAGCAACTGCCAATGTCCATGTAATGAACTGCCTGGTGTAACAGGCACACATTAGGAAACTTGTTTTTATCAGGCACGGCTTTTTTTGGTTTTGCCTATGTTTTTTTTTTTTCCTTTTTGCACACTGTACTTTTGAGAGTCTGTGCTATATTAACCCATTCAAATACTGCAGAATTATCAGTGTCAGTTTGATCACACATCTGCGAGTCACAAAAACACTGTGAGGCTGAATCATTCAGGGAAATGAACAACAGTGGCAGTATCTTTACAGACACCAGAAACAGATTCTCAAAGACACAAACACCGATAAGGTTTTCAAATGTATTTCTTTCATTGCTTAAATAAAAGTTTTGAGAACAGTCATATCCCGTAGTATTTCCATAATAAAAAGTTTGTATGATACTGATTAGTAGTGGACTGAAATATCCATATAGTGATTGCACAAAACATTTCTGAAACTGAAGATAATTTCAGCAAGTCAGTTGGTTTTAATAAATAGCATTTCCTGTTCCAAGGCCTTGTCTATACAGCAAAGTTACATAAAGATAACCTAAAATAGAAACTTAAATCTAATGAAATGAATCAGAAAACCTTCTGGGTGTATAATCCTTTTTCATGGTGAAAGTGGCTTGCGGTCTAGCTTAACTCTATTTGGAGCAGGCTTACATTACATCAAAAGAATGTCTGCAAATGAATTTGCATTGTTTAAACAAATTTAGTTAAACCCAATATGAGTTAATCAGTGCAAATTTTCCAGAGTCAGGCAATTAAATTGCCTTAAAAGGCAATTCAATGCAAAACCAAAAGGAGGAGCTTGACAGAAAATACATCACCTCCTGAAACAGCTTCTTTCTGCAAGATTTGTACTTTCTAAGGACGCACAAAAACTCCCACCTGTCACTGAATTCAGTGGAAATCCAAGTGAATTCAGCTCTCCTCAGAGGCAGACCACAAGTGTGGAATTAACACTGCTGTATTTATTACAAACGCAACCGCGCTCTCGCTGGAAGAGCTGTTGAGATGGCAAACAGAAACATGCCGAGATTAGACCGTGGTGCATCACACCCTGTATTCAGCAAAATAATCACCTTGGAGTCAAACGCTGCAGCCAGATCAAGCCTGCTCAGATCAGTGGACACGACCTACAGCCTTGCCCACAGACCTTGCTGGCGGTCTCGCTCACCACTACAACTGTCAAACAAATTTTGTGCAATTGCAACATGAATAAGCCTTTATGAAATAATAAAAAGCTTTCCAAGATAAAAACAACGCTAAACGGTTGATTGATATGATGAGTGAACCCATCCCACTTCATACCTATTCATTATACAACAGTAGTGTTTTATTCAGTAGTGGGTTACCAGCCACATCAAAAGTGGCCACAGCTTGATGTGCAATCAAAATTAAGTAGCTTATTGATATTGCTGGATAAGCAAGAATAAATATTGCTTCAAGCACACTGCTTTGCAGCTCTTAAGATAAACGTGTTTCATTCATTACCAAGCAGACTATTTGGGAAACAGCAGGTTAAGCTAACTTGTTCGTAACACCAGAATATCATTGCTCTTCTAGAAGAAACAGACCACAAAGTACTCGTCATTGCAAAGTGGGCAACTCACAAGATTTAAAAAAAAAATAAAAATTAAAACCCCAATTCTCATATTAGACTTTTTAGCAAAATTGGAAGGAGTTTAGGGTTTTTTGTGTCAAGAATAAAATGACAAAATATTATTAAAGATACTTCACACAAGGAGAAAGTTAAGGCTGCTTTTCAAGAGTTTCCTCTTTAAAGGTAAGCATGAATTTAAAGTCACTTAAAGTCTCTTTAAGACATTTCATCTCAGATTTACTCTCTGTTGCAGAAGACGCAGACAGCTAAGAAGCATTTGTGGCAAGCTGATGTATTTAACACTTGATAATGTGAGATGTTCCAGTTTCACAACAGTTACATACTGCTTTAACGAGTAGGGGTATTTGGCAATACTTGGCAGCACTATATTCTTAGAGCTTTCCTGTAAGGCAATACAAACAGGAGTATTAAACAAATAAAGCAGTATGAGATTTGGATCGTTAATGATATTTTGACATAAATAAACCAAAACGAGAGAATTAATTTGAGATCAGTCAAGCTCTTAAAGAGCAAAGGCCTCTGTCAGCCTTGGATCTGCTCTTCCATTTATTAGTAAGAGAAGCAGATCCAACTTCTGATTTCTTTGCTGAGAACGGCAGTCAGAAGCTCCTAAACAAGAGCAGATCTCTTCCAATACCAATTTTCTTTTTTTTTTTTTCCATGGAAGCAGCTCATTACCACCTGTCAGTCATCAGCTAGTATAGATTTGGTTTCTTCCAGCCCATCACCTTGTTCTTTACAGCGGAAATGCAGTAACCATTCCTACATTCAGCTACTCCAGTACTGACAGCAAAATCCAAACATTTTAAAAACTTATTTTATCTGCTATAACTGTATTTCTTTGAACTCAAAGGTATATTTGGAAGAGGTAGTCCAGGAGAAAAGGGTTTCAAGTACCAAAATCTGTATGTCCCGTACCAAGCTGACAGACCTATCAGCACACCGAGGAGCTTTTGACTGAAGTCATGGAAATAGACGGCAGTGCAGAGAAACATGAACACCCAGATCATGGTGAGGAAACACAAGGAAACAAAGAGGCCGTTGATCACAACACGCAGCTTAGAGTTCTGGTCTATGGACAAGCCTTCCAGCACAGCCACCTCCTCCATAATCATCAGAGCGCAGTACGAGAGCAGAAAACAGTGCCCTGAGATGTCAAAACCGTTCCAGATGCCGTGGTTCTGGTGGCACTCCTGCTTGGTGGCATACAGCTGGCGAGGCTCGCTGAGTTTACCCGAGGTAGAGCACGTGCCAGTGAGGTTCTCAATGTACATGAAGAGTCCAGTGCAGACATACCAGATGGCAGTGCCCACTGCAAGTGCACTGAGACGCCGCAGCACCATCAAAATGCTCTTCGTGGCACCGTAGAGGAACTTGCTCTTGGCAAACTGGTAGGTGGTGACTGCCATGAAGGGCAGCAGAAGCCAGAATGTCCATGCCCAAGCCACCTTGACAAAGTATCTGCCAGAGAAAAGCCAAAAGAGAAACATCCACGTGTGAAACTTCGCAGGAGCTGAGGTAAGTGGTGGTGTTTGAAGAAGTAGGTTTTCAAGGTCAGTGCTTAGCGCTGCCTAAATCACACTTGTGCCCTCCCTTCAGAGTAAAGCAAAGCTAAAATCTTACCCCTCTCCCCACTGTTTCTCTCAGGCCCAACACCCGAATACTCCCTCAACCAAGTACTTCCACCGTTTCCCAGGCAGTGTTCCCTCAGACCCAGAGCCCTTGTTCAGACCTGCAGCTCAGTTTTGCAATCGCTTTTACCCTACAAACCCGCTCAACTCTGCCCTACATACAACACAGCTGCAAAGAACGTATTTTTAGCTTGCCACCCTGAGCACAGTAACCCTTTCCCTGACTCTTCTCCTCCATCTCAATTATTTGTGCTTCACGACCTCAACCTCTTAATACTGAACAAGACAGCCAGGAGAAGGGCTGACTCCCCTAATCAGCCTGCAGAACTTTTCCTCCATTATCACCTTATCCATTATGTCCCTTATGTTGAAAAGAGCCTTCCTTTGGCAAAGACAAATCCTCCCACCTCTAAATTCACTCTCTGCCTTGAAAATCTTTGCTCTGATGCTTACAAAATCTTGAGAACCACCTGATGACGTGCTGATATCCTGTTTAGCAGGAGATGGCTAGGAGGAGTGTAACTGGTCCTCTTTTCAGATCTTAATGTGGAGCAGGTACAAGTGAATTTGCTAAGGAGGCTGTAGTCTGTGATCTTCTTTCTCCCCTTACTACCTTGCAAAGCAGCTCGCACCACCTATCCGCTGGTGGGAGAGGGGAACTGTGCAGCCCCCTTGTCACCCACATCCCAGTTTGAAAAAAAGACTCCTCAGCACCAAAGTAGGAAGAGAGTTCAGTGTCTTAAGACCCTAACAAAAACTGTCACAGCTTTGCCCAGGATTTAGAGGAGAACCTCCTTTACTCTCCATTTTACAGTAGAAGGGGCATATGTGTGGCAACTACAGCTGCTACCATGGAATAGCAATTGAAAATTAAATCCTCATTTTATTGAGCCAGTAAAAAGCAAAAAAAAAAGCTGCTAACATCATTGCTGTTGGCAAAGCAGCAGGCAAGTCATTTGTGGGGAGAAAAACTGCTTCAGGAACTGTCACCACAGATAACCTTCCTCTATCTAAAAAGGGAGAGTTGAACTGCAGTATGTTTTTACTGTAAGATCTATTTTATGCTCTAAGTGCTCCTGACAATCCTTTTCAACCACAATAAAAGCAGCTCCTCCCCCACATGTCACCAAATGACAAATATGAATCAATAAAGTAGAAAACTCCACAAGTCACAAGGGAACACAGCCTTCTTAACTTTACTTTCTGGTCTGTAGCAGGTAAAGCAGATATGCTCCAG